TTTTTTTTTTTTTAATATTTCCATTGAATCCAACTGTAGAACAGAGCAGAACCACGATCCAGGCAGGAAAGAACGTGCTGAATCCCGACGGTCTTAAAATTCACACGTCAGTCTGAAAACACCTCCCTGTCTCTACGTCTGCCTCCCCTTCTCTTCATCACTTCCTTCTTCACCGTTCAGAGCCCAGACTTGCCGAGGAGCTCAAGGCAGATGTTGGATCCACACCACCACCTGGACAAACCTGAATCCAGAATTCAGGACCATGAAGTTCATCTCAATGCTGCTAGTGCTGCCGCTGGTGGTGCTCTCTGTCTTCTCCACCCAGCATGAGCGGCCAGCTGGTAAAAAGGAAGATTACGATGATGGTAGTGCTGATGGTACTGATGAAGAAGACTCCAGATCTCAGGAGGCAGCAGGCGTGGTTCCTCCGTCCCACATATGGATGCTCTCCCTAGGTCTGGCTCGCCTGATACGGGGAGTTGAGGAGAACGCTCAGCATCTGGAGCGTCAGGGAGAACAGGTGTCAGCCCAACTGTTTAGTTCCGCAAAGAGTCTGGAGAACATCCATGAGCAGAACCTCCGGACAGGAAGGACTCAGAGGCAGGTGAGGAAAGACCTACAGAAACTGAACGCACAAGGAGACAGACTTTGGAGGACAGTCAGAGAGCTGAAGAAGGAACTGGAGGACATGGAGACAGCCCAGCGAATCATATGGAGCAGGACGGAGCTGATAGTCCAGTCAGTGAAGAGGCTGATGGAGCTGAGGTCGACAGGTGAAGTGAGCTCCTGTGATCTGAATGTGTGAGATAATTGCTCACTTTAAAAAATGCCAAATGTTGACTTATAAACTTAATACGTTCTAAAGTGAATCATTTTGAGAAGGAAAAAGTCTGGAAAAAAGTCAGGAATGAATCATTAAAGTTACAAAAAAAAAAAAAAGTAAAATATTAAAGTTGAAGATAAAGTCAACACTTAAATTGATTAAAGACGTGTGTAAAGACTTGTTTCTTTTGTATTTGTATAAAAACCGTTGCGCATAAGTGTGTCTTGTCTAACGGACAAAATTCTGGAGAACATGAAAAATCGTACGATACTGAAGAGTTGATGTGAAATGTGTCGGAAAGTGGATAAAAAAAAAAAAAAAAGTCAAATAGTGTGTCCAATTTCTGGTTCTCTAATCCATCTCTGTTTGTTAGTGTTTCAGGTCCTCTTGAACAAACAGTCTGAACGTCTCTCTGGCCTGTCCTCACACATCTCAGCTCAGGACACAGAGGTGGACCGACAACTGCAGAGCGTCCAACGTTTGGAGAAACTCGTCCATGAGCAGGTGCACCGTGTGTAAAATCCTGACAAGCCTCGGCTTATGTAAAAGTTTGAATGACATTGGTTTACGTTGTTGGTGGTTGTCCCAACAGGGAAAGCCTGAGTGTGTCCATGCAGCAGCAGCAACAACAGCAGCAGCAGCAGCATTGAGGACAGAGCCAGACTCTGTGTCGGAGCTGCATCAACACAGACACAATTAACAGCAGTTAAGCACAACAGTTAAATCTGCTGTCAGAACACGACTTCAGTGTTTGGCTAATTGACACAGATTCAAGTTCTCCTTCTTCTTTTTATTGTGATTCTTCCTTCTGGTCATCTTCGTCTTCGCAGACATTCAGACTGTCAGATCGTTGGTTCGGCTGTGTCGGTTTGTCTTTAAACACATCTGTCAACGAAGAATCCAAAAAAAATAAAAAATATCCTTCGTTTGCCGTCATCATGTTGTGGCTCTGAGTTCCAATGGCGTTGTTGCTTCTGTGGGTGAAGGGTCGGGTGGAGAAACTTCATGTTCAAACTCGCACCCAAATAAAGAGAAGAGCTCTGATGTCAGAGGGACCTTTGACCTACAGGCTTCAGACACTGAAAGGAAAATAGGCCCTGATTTTGAACACTGTCAGTGTTGTTTGTTTTCATGTCTGATGTGTGACGTTGGTACTATACAGTCTGTTACTAATGTCTACTGCATGGGTTAAGTCTGTACTTCTCAAACAGTTAGGCTGATAACAAGCCTCCAGTCACCAGGTGTTAAAAATAGACGTGTTTAAAATGAGCTGCTCTGCTGCCATCTAGTGACTGGAGGCTTGTTTATCATTCAAGCATTAATAAAAACAGGATAGTGCAGTACTCAAATAGTGGGGCGGGCCCCCCTGGGGGTGTAAGGGTCTTCCAATGAAATATGGCACACTTGACATACAGTAAGTTTAACAGAGCTGTAATGCCCAAGCCTCCCATCACTAGGTGGCAGCAACTCATACAGTTGGTTTGTACAGATAGAAATATAC